GCCCAGTCTGTGCCCAGCAGAGCTCAGCCCAGCCCAACAGTCCACTGTCTGCTCCACCTCCTTCACAGGGAAAAGTGTTTGATTAAAAACACGCAGCAAGTTATGACACCAAAAGTATGAGTAACAGGAGAAAAAACAGATACACTGGACTTCATCAAAATTAAAAACTTTTGTGCTTCAAAGGACACCATCAAGAAAGTAAACAGTGCAAGGAATGGGAGAACAGATTTGTAAACCATATATCCGATAAGGGGCTTATATCTGGAGTATATAAAGAACTCTTACAATTCAATAATAAAAAGACAAATAACCCAATTAAAAAAATGGGCAGAAGATCTGAACAGACATTTCTCCAAGAAACAGCCAATAAGCACTTGAAAAGGTGGTTTACATAATTAGTCATCAGGGAAAAATACACATCAAAACCACAATGAAATACTACTCCATACTCACTAGAATGGCTAAAATATAAAAAGAAGACAGTAACAAGTGTTAGCGAGGATATGGAGACACTGGAACCTTCACACGCTGTTGGTGGGAATGGAAAATGGTACAGCCTCTGTGGAAAACAGCTGACAGTTCCTCAAGTGATTAATCATAAACTTCCCCTATGATACAGCAGTTCCACTCCTAGGTGTATATCTAAGAGAACTGAAAACGTATGTCCGCACAGGAACGTGTGTACATATGTTTATAACAGCTGTAATGATAATAGCCGAAGCTGAAACAACCACATGTCCATCAACTGATGAATGAATGTTTAAAAATGTAGTACATTCATATAACGGTATATTATTTGACAACAAAAAGAAGTAATGATTCATGCTACAATGTGATGAATCTTGAAAATATTATGCTATGTGAAAGAAGCCAGTCACAAACGGCCACATGCTATATAATTCCATTCAAATGAAGTGTCTAGAATAGGGAAACCTATGGAGACAGAAATTAGATTAGTGGTTGCCTTGGGCCGGGGGCTGGAGATATGGAGGTGTAGCCAAAGGGCATGATGAAAATATTCTAATATTGATGTACATCTCTGAATATAATAAACACTATTGAATCACGTACTGTAAATGGGTGAGTTGTATGCTATGTGAATTGTATCTCAATAAAGCTGTCACACAGACACACAGACAAACAGACACAGACACACAGACATGGTGCCCCGTGTTCCACACAGCCTCCTGGCAGCAGTGTGGCTTTTGCTCCCTCCGGACTCTCCTCACGGCACTGGCTCTGTACAGAACGGAGTAGAGAAGGGCAAGCCTGGGCTTGTGCACGGCGGGCCGCACTGCCTTCCCCAGGGTCCCCAGAACTCCATCCCCACACCCCTCTGTGGAGAGAACACTGAGGAAGGAACTGTGGAGGCAGTGGGGAGGGGGCAGAGCAACTCCTTGGCTCTGGAAGCTTCCAGCCTGAGAAGGCACAGAGTGGTTAAGTAATTTGCCCAGAGTCACAGAGCCACATCTGACTCCAAGGCCCAAACCCTTGACCCTACATTGTGCTGCCTCTACAGAGAAGCCCCCAAACCCCAGAGGGTCCCAGCCCCACGGCTAGCTGAGGGCAGTGATAGGGGGCAGGCAATGGTGCCACCCCATCTTGTCCCGGACAGTGAACCTGCAGACTCAGCCTCTGATATGAAAAAGTATGGCATAAGGATCGAGGACCCTGGGCTCTGGCTCGGTGCCTGACATAAGCTGCATCTTCACCCCCTACCTCCACCCAGCACCGCCCTGTAGAACAGGGTAGAGGCAGGTGAGCTGTGGCAGTGTTGTCATGTGCAAGGAGCCCTGGGGAGACCCCTGCAGTGGGGACTGCAGGTCTTGGGGGGCCCTTTAAATTCCAGCTTTGAGCTTCCTGGCTGCTGCAGCTGGACTTGTCCCCTTCATGGCCAGCTTGGCTGAGCAGCAGCTTAGGTCACCGTGGCCAGAATTCCAGGCCTGACTCTGGGCTGGACCCTGCCAGGCTGCAGGCCGAGAAAACACGAAAGCTGAATCTCGCGGAATGACGCCAGGTGAAGATCACTTAAAAACGAAGACAAGGTGCCTCTGGAACCATGGTGTGAACCAAGAAGCTTCTGTACCGTCTGCCCAGCTCTTCAGAAGCACAAATGTCCACAACCCACCCAGGAAACTCACGTGGACGACCTGGGAGCACCTGGGGACGCCCCACAGGCCTGAGGTGGGAAAGTAGGCATGTGTCCCCATCGAGCCTGAACATCCCCAAGTATCCAGGTGCTGTCACCCCAACAGACGGGGGGTCCCCTGAAGGGGGGAACAGGTATTGTAACTCTTTAGGGAAACAAGGCACTTAGCCTGACAGACTCCCCAAGAAATAATTTAAACTACAGACACACAGCTATGAAAATTACACAGTGGAATGCATCCTTCCTTTGTCATAAGCATGCTTTTATTTCTCCTTCAAAACCCTCTTTGACGATCTCCAAACATCCTTAATGCAAGGTGAGGTGATGGTCCACGAGCATGACGGTGTCTCTCTGTGACCAGCCTCCTCCTGCCTTGGCCCCAAGCTCCCCAGCGCTCTGTTCTCCTTCCCGGCCACCCAGCTTCACCCAGGTGTGTCCCACGCCAGCAGCTAGGCCACCGGAACCACTGCCATGGTGACAGGTGATGTCATGCCCAGTAGACCCTGCAGGAGACCAGCCTGGCTCCTGGGAATGTGGGGACTGGGGGTGAGAGGGAGGGTGTGCAAGGAGGGACTGATTTTTCTAACTCAAGGAGGCTGGATGTTTGCATGAGCTGGAGGGTGGAACCAGGGCCCCAACCATGACCCCAAGACGATGGCGCTTCTCTGGGGCCATCACTCTTCCCAAGCTTCTGAGGTCTGCCTTTCCACAGCAGACGCCCTCCTCGTTCCCTGGCTTGGGATGCCATAGACCCTAACCCAGATGCGAGGCAGGGTGGAGCAGTATCAGCCCCAGTTTAACTTCTGCAAATGCGACTCTTGGCAGGTGGGGACCAGAGAGAGAAGAAAGGTCCCTTGACTCCAGCCTTGGGCAAAGCAGACCCCCTTCTCCAGTGCCCAGGTGACGGGGGGCCACAGCTGACAGGCAAAGAGAACAGCGCAGGGTAATTCTCGGCTTTTGAGCTTCTGGGGGTCGTGGACCTGGAGAGTAAGGGATTTTACAGGGAACGCTGAGCACGAGGGGGTCTCTCCTTATGCACCGGGGCAGCGCCTGCAGTGAGAACCTTGCCAGACAGTGAGGGACCAGGCTGTCAGCTTTCCCCTCTCCCAGCCTCGGTTTTCCCCCAGGATGGGCGTGCTGGACTCTGTGAGCTTCCTTTAACTTCTGAGGTCCGAGACGACTTCGCCTTGACCACTGTCCCCCACAAACATGTCCATGGCCTTGGCCAACACCACACAGCAGGGCGGACGGGCACTGGTCTGGGGTCAGAGGATCTGGGTTCTGTCCCTGGATCAGAGTCCTAACCACCGGACGAGGGAATTCCCTGGCTCTGAGACCTCGAGCAAATCACATAACCTCCCCGAACCTCAATTCCTTAGATACTAAAACAATTCCCATGTGCCAGGCACAGGTCTCAGCCCCCAATGGGTTTTTGTCACTTAATTCTCACAACTACCTTTTGAAGTCAGTCCACATTATAGATGAGGAATTGGGCATCCAGGGAGATTAAGGAACATGGCCAAGCAGTGAGTGGCAGTGCCCACCTGGCCCCAGCACCCTCCTGTCCCACAGCTTTGCTGGCTCCCAAACTGCCAACCCCCAACAAATCTGCACAGCCCGGTTGGCCTCATCTTCTCCTAGGGACTCTGTGCTGGGGGTAGGGCTGCACCTGCCTTATGGAGGATGGAACTGAGGCTCAGAGGGTTAACTGACACACCAAGACCCACGCAGACCCTGGACTTGCATCCTTGGCATCTGACCTTGAACCACTCACGCTCCTCCATCACCCTTACTGTGAAAGCACATCCTTGTGAACACAGAACCTGCATCGATCCATAAAACCAGTGGATGATCCAAATATTCACACCAGTTACTCGTGCTACAAGATACTGTTTCTGCAGCTGTCTTACAGTCCCAAGCGGGGAGGTTTCCATTAAAGGCGGTTTGACATTCTTATACGCACCCCATGACTGCTCCGTGACTGCTGGAAGGAGGGTGTGTATGCGTGCATGTGTGCGTCAGCAGCTCTTAAGGAATCCTCCACCAGCCACGCCCTCCTGCTTACAGGATCCTCAGCCAGCCCAAGGCATGGTCTCATTCCATGAGGTCAGATTTCCCATTAGTCTGAGCTCAGAAGACTGCTGGCCTGCTTCTGGATGGTCTACGGCCAAGAGCCCTTGTGAAAATTCCAGCCTGGTGGACCCCTGACAAACACTGGGTCAGTGTTGGGGAGGGGTGGCCAACAGGGTCAGGCAGACCTCAGCCTGTGTATGACAATCCCAGCTGCCACCAGCAGGGGGCCCCCTTTCTTTTCCACTCAACATTCCTGATCAGCATCTACAGATTCTGGGAAAGGAGGGGTGGGTAGGTGGGAGCCAGAAGGGCTTGGCAAACCACTCTGAATACATACCCACCAAAATGTTCTTCCAGCTCAACTTCCCTTTG